TTTGGGGTCTCTTCTGGTTCCATACAGATTTTAGGATTGTTTCTTCCAGCACTTTGAAAAATGCCAGTGGATCTTTATCAAGATCAAAAGCTTCTGCACAGCAAAGGAAACAGTCAACAAACAAAGAGGCAACCCATGGAATGGGAGAAGATATTTGCAAATGACACTACAGACAAAGGGCTGATATCCGAGATCTATAAAGAACTCCTCAAACTCACCCTCAAAAAGCAGATAATCATGTCAAAAAATGGGCAGAAGACATGAACAGACACTTCTCCAAAGAAGACTTACAAATGGCTAATAGACACATAGAAAAATGTCCATCATCATTAGCCATCAGGGAGATTCAAATCAAAACTACATTGAGATACCACTTTACACAAGTTAGAATGGCCAAAATTAACAAGACAGTAAACAACAAGTGTTGGAGATGATGTGGAGAAAGGGGAACTCTCTTACACTCTTGGTGGAAACACAAGTTGGTGCAGCTACTTTGGAAAACAGTGTGGAGATTCCTTAAGAAATTAAAAATAGAGCTACCCTATGACTCTGCAATTGCACTACTGGGTATTTACCCCAAAGATACAGATTTAGTGAAAAGAAGGGTCATATGTACCTCAATGTTCATAGCAGCAATGACCACAGTTGCCAAACTGTGGAAAGAGCCAAGATGCCCTTTAACAGATGAATGGATAAAGAAGGTATGGTTCATATATACAATGGAGTATTATACCTCCATCAGAAAGGATGAATATCCAACTTTTGAATCAACATGGATGGGACTGGAGGAGATTATGCTGGGTGAAATAAATCAAGCAGAGAGAGTCAGTTATCATATGGTTTCACTTATTTGTGGAGCAAAAGTGATAACATGGAGGACACTGGGTGAAGGAGAAGAGAAGTGAGTTGGGGGAAATCAGAGGGGGAGATGAACCATGAGTGACTGTGATCTCTGAGAAACTAACTGAGGGTTTTGGGGGTTTGGGAGAAGCTGATGGTGGGTATTAAGAAGGGCACATATTGCATGGAGCACTGGGTGTGGTGCCTAAACAATGAATATTGGAACACTGAAAAAATAAAATAAAATAAAATAAAATAAAATAAAATAAAAGTATGGGACATCATCAAGATAAAAACCTTCAGCATAATGAAAGGAACAATAAGAAAAAGGTTGCCTTTGGAATGGAAGAAGATATTTGAAAAATGACATATCTGATAAAGGGTTAGTATCCATAATCTATGAAGAACTTGTCAAAATCAACACCAATAACACTAGTGATCCAGTTAAGAAATGGACAGAAGACATGAGTAGACATTCTTCTGAAGAAGACATGTAGATGGCCAAGAGTCACATGAAAATATGCTCAACATTAATGATCATCAGTGAAATACAAATAAGTGCAATGAAATATCATCTCACATCTGTCAGAATGGCTAAAATTAACAGCACAGGAAACACCAGATATTGGTGAGGAAGCAGAAAAAGAGGCACATTCTTGCATTGTTGGTGAGAATGAAAACTGGTGTAGCCACTCTGGAAAACAGTATGGATGTCTTCAAAAAGTTAAAAATAGAACTTATCCTATGACTCAACAATTGCACTACTAGGTGTTTACCCAAAAGATACAAAATACTAATTCAAAGGGACATAAGCACCCCAAGGTTTATAGCAGCATTTATTGACAATAGCCAAATTATGGAAAGAGCCCAAATGTCTGTTGACTGATGAATTAATAAAGAAGATGTAGCATTTATACACACGATGGAAGATTATTCAGCCAAAATAAGGAATGAAATTTTGTCATTTGAAACAATGTGGATGGAACTTGAGGGTATTATGCTAAGCACAGTAAGTCAGTCAGAGAAAGACAAATACCATATTTCATTCATATGTGAATTTAAGAAACAAAACAGGTGAACATAGGTGGGGAAAAGAGAGAGGCAAACCATAAAAGAGACTCTTAAAGATAGAGAACAAATTGAGGATGGATGGAGGGATGTGGGTGGGGATGGGTTAGATGGGGGATGGGCATTAAGGAGGGCACTTGTGATGAGCACTGGGTCCTGTAAGTAGGTGATGAATTACTGAATTCCACACTTGAAACTAATGTTCATGGTATGTTAACTACTGGAACTTGAATGAAAATTTTTAAAAATGAAAAATGAAAGGAAAGAAGAGGGTTAGGATGTGAAATGTGTAGCTGTGTTAATTGGCCTCATTGTGGGCATCCTGTCTCCATGTACACGTACACTAAAACATCAAGTGGTTACTTTGTTTTATATTTTTAAAAAGAAAACAGAGTTTATTGCCCAGCAAATAATATTGTATTCCAACATGTGACAAATGCTACATAAAATATTAATTTTCATGATTTGCTTCAATAGAAGTTTTCTTGACCAATTCTGCATTTTCCTTCTGAAATGCGGTGTGCCCTCACTAGAGGCACTACAGGTAAGGACATGGGCATTCAAGCTGCAGCTCCCTGCAGGCTCCATGTTTACCAGTCTCCTGTGGTTCTTCAGACCATCCTCTCTGAGAAGTTGTTGAAGGACTTTCTCCAGGAAGACCTTCATTCATGTCATGTCACAGGCTCTGTTGCACCTGTTAGAGCGCTCAAGGACTCACATGGCCCATGGTGCCTCCCAACCTTCCTTCTTGGGAGGCTGGAAAGTTGCACACTGTCCATAGGACCAATGTTCATCTATCATCGTATATCAGTGAAGCAGAAAATAGTAGCAACAACAAAATCAAGACATCAGAAAAGTAAAAGCAGACACATAGACCCATGGAAAGGGCTGGAGCCCCAATGACCCTGGGCTCCCCAGTTCCATTAGCCAATACAGTCCCCACATGACTTCAGCCCAACAAGTTGCATTTCTATCCTTTGTGACTGGTAGCTCCCCTGTGACAGTGGTGAATGTGGCCCCCGGGGGATGCTGGGCTAATGTCTCTCTTGCTTGCAAGTTTCTTCCTCACTTCCCTCTTCCTGTCCTTTGATTCTTGAAAGTATTCCTCTACTTTTTTTTCTTGCCTGTTTGCTTTTTATCTTTTTTCCATGTGTTCTCATCTTGTGACACTTCCCTGTCTTGTGTGTTAACTCTGACATCTGGAGCAATCCCTGTCAGGGGTGTTTTCATGGATACCTAACAAACTACCAGTTAGGAATCAAGGTGCTGGGTCTGCTGCTGGTTAGTGACTGGCAAATATCTATACTCCAGGGTTTTCCCACCAATGAAAGGACAAGCTGCCTCAGCGTGTAATAAATCAGGAAGAGTCATGCCAATGGCAGTTAAGTACTCAAAATGCAAGAAATTTTCCATAGACTTCTTCTTGACACAGTCATCCATTCACTCATTCATTTCATCCTATATTTAGCTTTCCCTATTTGTCTGGTAAACATATGCTGAGAGTGGTTCCAACAGATATGAGAAGCAGCTCTGTGTGCAGACATGTAAGATATCAGGAGTCATCTCTTCCTGCAAGCTCTTTCCTTTTTCATGTCTACATTTAATCACCCAGAGTCCAACTTCAGAACTGTTCAGTAAGGAAAGTCAGCCACACATATGTGAATATCTAATTGGCTTTATTAAATGATCCATGAATCAGGAGCTTCCCATCTGACATGCAGGGGTTCTCTCAAAGGAGTTGTACAAAATGGAAGGTTTTTTGAAAGAAAGGTTGGGACCAGGGAGTTAGTAGTAAAAGGGCATTGTTCGGGGCGCCTGGGTGGCTCAGTGGATTAAAGCCTCTGCCTTCAGCTCAGGTCATGATCTCAGGGTCCTGGGATCGAGCCCCGCATCGGGCTCTCTGCTCGGCAGGGAGCTTGCTTCCTCCTCTCTCTCTGCCTGCCTCTCTGCCTACTTGTGATCTCTATCTGTCAAATAAAAAATAAAATCTTAAAAAAAAAAAAAAAAAAAAAAAAGGGCATTGTTCCAGGAGTGAGGCCTGTTTTCTTAGAGAAAAGCGAGAGGTGTAATCTTACACATGACCTCATCTGTCTGTTGGGAATGGAGAGGACCCAGGTGATGAACTCACTGGTACTGATGGAAAGAAAAGTTTCCTGCCTGCCTGGTTAAGGCTGAATTTCTAGGGGTGGTTGAAACTGTAATTAGATTGGATTTGAAACCTCATTGTGAAGCCCCAGTGCGGGAACTGGGTCTACATGACACCATTTTTGGGGCCTGTGATTTTCTTTTTCTAAAGAGGAAGAGCCTCATGGGGACATATTTCAGACTTCTGCCCCTCCATCAGCAGAGCAGCTCTTGGTATCCTGCTGGCTAGCCTGCTTGGGACAGAGAGTGGGCCACTAGCTCTGTTCTGGCCCAGTCTCATCTGCAGCCAGGCACTTTGTTTTTCAGTTTTGGGGAATGGACATTCTAATCATTACTGCCTTTTTCTCAGCAGGTGGAATCCTGCTACCTGCCAGATGGGATGCAGCCAGGTTCTTCAATCACTTAATAATACCAATTAGATCGTCGAATTTACCTGGTTGATTTTGTTTTTTAGGAAAAGCAGTGAGATGTCAGAGGTGCGAATGAGGTGGGGTGGGGGCAAGACGGGGAAGGAAATACATGAGAAGTTTCACAAGGGCAGGAGGGACAGAGTAACAGTAGGTCCAGGGCTGGGTGCTGGGAGCCATGTGTTTTCAAGGTTTACTCTCTGGATGAGAAGGAAAGGAATGAGAGGTGGGATGACTTTTCCAAGCCACACAAGATTTTTTTCCCATAGCAACTGAAATAGGGAACAGGGAGCAGGATGGAAGCCAATGGCAGGGAGAAGCTGGATGCCTGAGAGGAGGGTCAGACCAGGAAGGGAAGTGAGAGTCTGAGTAGGTCTCCAGGGTTGGGGGAGGAGCACATTTGCATTTTAGCAGAGACTCAGGGAAAGCTTGTGTGTGGAGAAGGAAGTCAGAAGAGTGGTGCGGTGTGTGGGGTAGGTTTGTTAGAACAACTGTCAAAGACTGACTTTGTAAGAGACAGAAAGAACATCTGCAAGTACAATGCTGTTCCTGCAACTTGTGTTGCTGGTGGTTCTCCTCTCAGGTGGTGACAGTGAAGACGGTGAGAACTGTGGCCCTGCCCAGTGGGTGCACGTGTGTGTGCCTGTGCGTGTGTGCACGCACATGCGCGTGCGCGTGCATATGCTTGTATGTCTATGTGTGTGTTTTAATATGTGAATGTGTGTGTACATATGTGCATGTGTGTATATGTGTCTCTGTGTCTGTATACTTTAGTGCATGTGTGTCTTTGCATGTTCATTTCTTTGTGTATAAATGTGTGATTTTTTATGGTTGTGTAGGGTTTTGTGCATGTGTGCATCTGTGGTGCATGTGTGTACGTGTGTGTGTGTGTGTGTGCACTTGTGGTGTGGGTTCCCCAGCACATACGTGAGAAAGGAGCGTGTAGCCTGGTTCCTTTCTGAACTCCCTGACACCAGGGCCCTGTGCTCTTCTGAAGGGCGGATACAAAGCTCAGGGCTCTGGGGCAGCACATATATCCTGAGACAGCTATGGCTTCCCTGTCATCTGGATTTTGGTTCTCTTCTCTGACACCTTCTGCATTTTCTGTCCTTCCCAAAGTCTTCCTTCTCCATAGTCTATCTGTCCTTTTTTCACAGACTTCCAGGAGACCTCCTTCCAAATCATCCTGACCACGTCTTTTTACAATGATTCCTGGACACAAAAACTAGGCTCAGCATGGCTGGATGAACTACAGACTCATGGCTGGGACAGTGACTCTGGCAACTTCACATGCCTGTGGCCTTGGTCCAAGGGAAACTTCAGCAACAAGTTGCTAATGGAAGAGGAAAGGTCATTCCATACATTCTCCATTAGATTTCCTCTGATATTTCAGGACCATTTCAGTGAATGGCAGCTTGAATGTGAGTGGTGAGTGGTTCCCTCAGTGGTGAGGTGGAGGTGGCAGTTGTGTGTATGTCGCCTTGAGTTCCTTCTTCCTCTAGGATAGAGACTCCACTGGCTTCTGAACCTCATGTCTCCCCATTATGAAACTGAATTATACCTTTTAGGGGAGGAGGTAGAAGCCAGACCCCAAATCTTGAAAAGCTTCATGTCTTCTGTAATTTCGCCTCCTCTTATTGACTACAGGTTATCCTCACTTTCTCATACTTGTGTCTCCCATGACAGCTCTTCTTCCTGGCCTCCATCCAGGCATACCTGCTCCCTCACTCTGTGATTGGCTCCTTGAACATTTATTTTCTCCCCATTGAATCCCATTAGTGATGTCTGTCTGTGTGTTCCTTCTACCCCATAAGGACTCCCTTTCCCTTGATTATTTTTACCCCAGCTTTCTCTCTGAGCCCTTCCCTATTCTCTACCCAGACCTTTCATGTCTCTTCTTCCAACATTTGCTCCTTTCTCAATATTTCACCTCTTTCTCTGCCTCCAGCAACCAACACTTCTCCTTTGGCTGAGCCTCCTCTCAAACCAAAATTTCTCCATTTCCTTCAATCCCCTGAACTTCTCCCTCTGCTTTCCACCATCCTTGTCTTCCACTGATCTCATTTTGTTTCTTTCTCTCCCCCTGCCCTGAAATTCACAGTCTCTCTTCCTCAGATCCCTTTCAGGTACAGGCAGCAAAAGGCTGTGAACTGCACTTTGGGGAACCATCAGTAGGCTTCATGAGGATTGCTTATCAAGGATCAGATCTTGTGATCTTCCAGAACAAGTCATGGTGGCCATCTCCAAAGGGAGGAAGAAGGGCTCAGCTGGTCTCCAGACTATTCAATCAGTACCATGTGATCAATGTAAGACTACAAACACATATCAGTGACACTGTCCCCGTTTCCTCTTGGGTCTTCTTGATGCAGGGAAGACACATCTGCAGCGACAAGGTCAGTCCTGCTCCCTTCCTCTAAGATTTCTCTACCCTGCGCTCATAAATTTGCACCATTCCCTCAAACTCAGGGTGAGAAGGAGCCAAGAGAGTTTGACAGTGACAAATTTCTAGAGGTAGAAAAATGCATCTGTTTAAAGTGATGTGAAGAATTAACCTCCTAGTTTGTGAATACCTGTCGTGTCTCTGCAGTGAGACCAGAGGCCTGGCTGTCCACTGGCCCCAGTCCAGGTCCTGGCCATCTGCTGCTGGTGTGCCATGTCTCTGGCTTCTACCCAAAGCCTGTGTGGGTGATGTGGATGCGGGGTGAGCAGGAGCAACAGGGCACCCAGCGAAGAGATGTTCTGCCCCATGCTGATGGGACGTGGTATCTTCAGGTGTCCTTGGATGTGAAAGCCATAGAGGCTTCTGGCCTGTCATGCTTGGTGAGACACAGCAGTCTAGGAGGCCAGGACATGGTCCTTTACTGGGGTGAGAAAGAGCTGGGACCCAGCTGGGAAAGGGGATGGGTATTTCTCTAGAAGAGCAGGAGAACCAGAAGAAAAATTGGGGTTGCTAGGGACTCCGCTCCAAAAAGGACAAAAATGAGTAATCCAAGAAATGGAAGAGCTGAGGGTGAGAGTCCTGTAAATGTGGGTGGTACAAAGGGTTGGTGAAAGGTCCATCTCTGCGGAGGGATGGGAGAAGAGAGGAAGAAGGGCAGTTGGTGAGGCAGAGGGTGACAGGACCAAAGAGGACCAGGGAGGTACAGTCCAACCCTGGATGAAGAGGAAATGACACAATCTCTTTACCAAACCCACAGAAAAGCATCAACCCATAGGCTTGGTCTTCCTGGAAGTGATAGTGCCCCTGGTGCTTCTGGGAGTTCTCACCTTGTGGCTCTGGAAACACAGGTAAATCTATGGAGTCTTCCTAGTCTTTCTCAGGTGGCTCCCCACCTTTCAGTCTGTCCTCACTCCTCCTGCTCCTGTTGTCATTCCCACCATGTATTCCTCACCTCCACCTGCTGCAAAATGACTCCTTCTCTGTTCCTCCTAGGAAAACACACTGGAGACCTCAATGCACTGGCCTCCCACTGGAATGAGAAATCAGCAGCCCAGGGACCAGGACATACTTAAACCCAGCTCAGCAGTGATGTCTTTGCAACCCTTTCTGTGCAACTTTTATGTTTCATTCGTGCTTAATGATCAGTTGGCAATTTAAGCCCAGTGTAATTTAGCTGGATTTGTTTTTCTGACTTGGTTTGCAACTTAATCTCAAAACTGAACTCAGAGTAAAATGAATTACCAGTGACCTCTATGGGTCACGAGAATCAGATATCACTTCCTCCAGTGAGAATTCCCCGATTCACAAGTAGATTCAGTATCCTTTGTGAGACTACCACTACCTTGACCTCCACTTTGGCTAATCTGTTCCTGCCCCCAAACCCTTGTTGGTCCCATTAGGTTCCTTTTGCTTTCTAACTCTTAGGCCTTTTGAGAACAATGTCCATGTCTTTTAAATATTTCCATCTTTGCCAAATGTCTCATTACATGGAATATTTCCTCAATAAAATATGGGTGATATATGCCAAATTCATAGGTTTTTATTTTCATTTGCTTTGTGACATGATCCACATAAACCTCACAAATTTCCTGTTCTTTTTCCTGGATTCACTACATTGTTTTATTACCACTGAATTCATGGCCCACGACTCTGATTCCCAAGCCTGAGCAAACATTACCTACATGGGCATTTTGTTTGTGAAGCATATGCTACTTTTTTTTTTTTTTTTTTCTTAGGAACACCAGTCAGCCCTGTAGCTCTGGTTTCAGGACCATTTTGAACACTGAAATAACCAAGAAAGAACATGTAAATGAAGAAAATTTGGCACCAATTGGACCATGAATAGGACACATGTTTACAGTATAGGAATTAAAACAAGAAGGCAGAGTAGCACCTGGTTCTGCCTCAGCTGAAAGCACATATAGTAGGTGACACATGTCAGGCCACTCTACATGTCCATGAACAATGGTGAGCACATGTGTTTGGGGGTTACAAATCAATGTCAGTAGGTAGGTCAACCAGCACAGACAGACTTCATGAATAATGAAGACGGATCCTTTGTGACTAATGACGTTTATGGCAGTGTGAGTGGAGACATCAGTGGCTGGACTTCAGTTACTCTCAGTTTCATTAATTAACTCAACAAACCATTCTCAAGCTCAGTGTAGCAGGGACATTCTGAGTGTCAAGTAGTGGGGAAGAAAAGGTCATCATTACTTTTGGAGCTTGAAAATTTTGCTTTCTGATTTGATTATGGTTTTCATTGTTTCTATCCAGTTAGTACAGCATCTTATTTGTGTTGATGTAGGGGAAAGGCACTTTATTCTATTTTGTTTAGAGGCTGAGGAGGGTCCCAGTGCAGGAGAACATCCAGAGGGACCATGTGTAAGCTTCCACTACTTCATATGTGGACATTTCTAGAAAATAACATTTTGTTGGGAGAGGTGGCAAAGGTGAAAAAATGGGAGGGCGGGGAGAGAAAATCATGGGACTACCACAATCTCCTCACCTGGATCAGACTGTATGGCTGCCTCTCTATGTTCCAGGCCACCTATCACCCTTGCATAACTGCCATGTGATTTTTGGTTGGTTGACTCCGCTATCATTGTAGCCCTGGGTTCTGATCAGTCTGAGGCCATCAGGAGAAGGCAACCATGACAATGGGATAGGCTGAAGGATGGGCAGGTAACCTCCAGTTCAGGCCAATCATCAGGTAGGTGCCATTTGACCTTACAAAGAGTGATCAATCGAGTCACCTGCTCCAGTTGGCACAGGTCACACAGAGCCTGATTTTTATCACTGATAGAGAGGAATGAGATGCTCTTTCTTTGCCTGGATGATCAGGTTTGGGGTATAAAAGTTGAAACAACTATTGTCTATTTTTCAGCACCAGAGAAGCAACCCTGAAGATGAAATCTGCTTGCAAGGAGGTAGGGAAATTGTATATGTGAAATTCGCCAAGAAGGTAGATCCCAAGTGTCTCACCACAAGAAAAGTTAAAAAGGAAGAGGGTCAGGAGGGAGGAGCTCACTTGGCAGAGTTGTAAGAGGATCCCAGGCTTGTTCTTCCCTTGAACACAACTAGATAAATATCTAATCATATCAAATACTCAAAAATTGGTCTGAAGATTGAAAGAACAAACTGCACAACTTAGGAAGAGAAGAGGTCACATCACGGAAGGTAGGAGGCATGGAATTGTGGTTTGGGTAGACACAGATCATGGGTTCTGTGGAGGGGTAGAAGTCCTGGTCATTGAGAGAGAGGAGAGAGAGAAAGAGAGAGAGAGAGTTAGAGAGAGGAACCCACAGGAGATCACCAATGAAAACACTTCCCCAGTGAAACTGACTAAATGGAGAGAGGCTGATTTTCATGAGTTGTTACAACCAGTAGGGCTGAAAGACTGGAGTTTTAGAAGTTGGTGCTTTGGCCAGTGTGGAGTCTGGCAGGCACTGCAGTGCTCCTGTGGAGAAGGAGGACAGTAGCCCAAGGGCAGATGGTATGACCTGAGGATACCTTGGGACACTCAGGAAGAAATGGTTCCCCTTCTTGGAGTATATCTGGGAGAGGTGACACTGCATCTCCAGGGACAAAAAAGCCAAGCAGGGGGCAACATTACCCTTCCCTACATCAAAGCATAGGGTTAGAGACACTTGCGGAGGGTTCTTTACCTGGGCACCAGCTATTTGCTGCACTTTAGTCCAAACACACATCCCTGTGCTTTGGTGTGACTGCCATTCTAGAACAAATCTGCAGCAGTTCCAGCCCAGTGAGACCTTCCCCAAGGAACAGTAGGAGTCAGCACCATGCCAGTTCCCTCAAGTCTGGAATTTTAAAACTCAGCCAGCCTGATGGGGTTAGAACACAGGGCACTGCATTGCCAGATAGAAGATGGTCTGGACACAGGGTGAAGGCATGGATCTAAGGGACACTTGGGACACATGAAGGGAGATTGTTCGCTCTTCCTGAGTGCCTCCCTCAGAGCAGTAAGCACTGAACCCTTCTCTGTGGATGAGGCTGGTGCCATTTCCCTCCCCTGCCCCTCAGTATAAACTAACTTCAGTAAGCAGACAAGTGCAGCAGTGGTGGCCTAAACCACTTCATCAATCCCTCCTCCTCAGTGCTCTGCAGGTACTGCTTTGCAAACAAGTGTTCCTGAGAACCAGAGCAGTGGGCCCCTCCCTAAAAGACCAGCAGAAACCTCCACATGTGCAGCATCTACTGACCATAGAGTTCTGCAGACCTTCATTTCTAGTGGAAATTGCATCAGGTTTCATTTAACAAGCAGATCACTGAACACCTAGTTAAAACTTGCCACACTCTAGACAAGGTATAAATCCTCCCCACTGCAGACAAGGAGATCCTCTGCAGATGACTGGCCTGAGAGAAAGCGCAGCCAAAACACAGTAGTAGGGTGAACATAGCACACAACGGAGACACTTCCTGAAGCACCAGATCCTGGACTGTTTAAGATCTGTTGTTAATAAAGTCATTACTCTCGGGAGCAGGAAGCATAACAGGCTTTCAGAATACACAGAAGGAGAGAGAGACCCAGACAAAATGCCAAGATGGAGGAATTCATCCCAAAAGAAAGAACAAGAAAAGGTCACAGCTAGGGGCGAACTGAAACAGATAAGTAATAGGCCTGATCCCAAATTTAAAGCAAAAATCGTAAGGATACTAGCTGGGCTTGAGAAAAGCATAGAAGATACCAGGAAGTCTCTTACATTAGAGATAAAATACCTAAAAACTAGTCAGGCTGAAAAAAAAGTACTATAACTGAGATTCAAAACTGACTGAATGAAATAACCACAAAGATGGAAGAAACAGAGGGATGAAGAAGTGATATAGAAGATAAAATTATGAAAAATATTTAAGCTGAGAAGAAAAGAGAAAGAAAAATATTGGACCAGAAATGGAGACTTAGAGAATTCAGTGACTCCATGAAGCACAATAAAATTTGTATTACAGGACTCCCAAAATAAGAAGAGAAGGAAATGGGGACAGCTTTATTTGAGTAAATTATAGCTGAATATTCCCCTAATCTGGGAAACAAATATTCAAATCCGGGAGTTACAGAGAATTCCCATCAAAATATCAAAAACAGGCCAACACCAAGACAATCATAGTTAAATTTACAAAATGTAGATATAAAGAAACAATCCTAACAGTGACAATAAAAACCACAAGATCAAAGAAGTCCCTAAATTACAAGGGAAGACAAATAAGGTTAGCAGCAGATCAGATCTGTGCACAGAAACGTGGCAGGCCAGAAGTGGAATGATACATATTCAATGTGATAAATTGGAAAATATGCAGTTGAGAATATTCTACCCACCAAGGCTGTTCTTCAGAATAGGAGAGATAAAATGATTCCCAGACACATAAAAACTAAAGGAGTTTGTGACCACTAAGTCATCCCCACAAAAAATATTAAAGAGGACTCTTTCGCAAAGATCAAATGCAACAAAGACTAGACAGAAGCAGAAAATCTACAGAAACAATGACAAAACAAGTAATAAAACGACACTAAGTTCATATCTATTAACAATCTCTCTGAACATAAATGGACTAAACTCTCCAACCAAGAGACATAGGGTGTCCTAATGGATGAAAAAAAACAAGGCCCACCTACATGCTGCCAAAAAGAGATTCATTTTAGACCGAAATACACGCACAGGTTGAAACTGAGGGGATGGAGAACCATCTATCATGTAAATGGAGTTCGAAAAAAATTCAAAGTAGTCCTACTTCTACCACACAAACTAGATTTCAAATCAAAGACTATAACAAGAGAGGAAGAGGGTACTATATCATAATAAAGGGTCTATCCAACAAGAAGATTTAATAATTGTAAATATTTATGTGCCCAACTCGGGAGTACCCAAATATGTAAAAGAATTAATAACATCAGGATGATTCAAATCAAAACCACATTGAGATACCACCTTATACCAGTTAGAATGGCCAAAATCAACAAGACAGGAAACAATGTGTGTTGGAGAGGATGTGGAGAGAGGGGAACCCTCTTACACTGTTGGTGGGAATGCAAGTTGGTGCAGCCACTTTGGAAAACAGTGTGGAGATTCCTTAAGAAATTAAAAATAGAGCTTCCCTATGAACCTGCAATGGCACTACTGGGTACTTACCCCAAAGGTACAGATGTAGTGAAAAGAAGGGCCATCGGTTCCCCAATGCTCATAGCAGCAATGACCACAGTTGCCAAACTGTGGAAAGAACCGAGATGCCCTTCAACAGATGGATGGATAAAGAAGATGTGGTCCATATACACTATGAAGTATTATGCTTCCACCAGAAAGGATGAATACCCAACTTTTGTATCAACATGGATGGGACTTGAAGAGATTATGCTGAGTGAAGTAAGTCAAGCAGAGAAAGTCAATTATCATATGGTTTCACTTACTTGTGGAGCATAAGGAATAACATGGAGGACACTGGGAGATAGA